GTCATTGTGCGAGCCGCCGAGTTACGCCAATAACTAGAGGACGAAAAAACTTCGCGACAATGGGAATGGCGATCCTTTTAACGAGTCAAGAAAAAGTTCGTTAATTGAGAGAACGATAACAACTTAATAACGGCCAACGGTTGAATGAACTGAGTTCCGAAGGGTGTGCTCCTTGCCGTTGCTGAATACTCAAATGCTCATATAAATCTCGTCGAGAAAAAAATCCGACTGCATTTTTTCACATTCTTTGGTGGATTATTTTTATACAGGGTGAAACACAGAGGCTTTTATGGCATAAAGTCACGTTTCTTTTGGTCGATATTCCAAGGTAGCATTTATAATCAAAAGTCGTCTGTTATAAATAAAAATCATCGATATTCGGACGTAAAAAAATACGTTTGAACATTGTCTAAAAGTATCAGAATTACTTAATTTTAAAACTATTAATTTTAACATTCAAACACTTTTATGAATAATACTAAGAATACAAAAGAAAAAGTTTTGTTACATAACGTTCTTAAATCTTTAAGTGCGTATTGTTAAACAATAATTGTACTTCCCTTCACCCTATATGCATCAATAGTGTTTTATTATTACTCTTACAATATTAAAAAAATTTTAACACTGGCTTTTTTCAGTTTTATTTATTGCCCCAGAAGTTCGAGAAAAAAATTTAATCAGCATCATCCAGAGTTTAATTCGGTTATAAAGATATAAGTTTTTGATTCCGACCTTTTTTCTCCTCCCTTACAGTTGATTTTGTTTTGTTTTTTATTTTGTTGGCAACTAAACCGAATTTTTTCATCGCCATCGGTCTGTCTACGGGTTATTACGTGGCCTTTTCACCGCTGGCTGGTAATAAATAATATTTCTCAAATCCAACCATTCACAATGATAATAATATGGGCCCGGTCAAATAATTCATATTTACTTAACAATAATAAACTATATTAAGCAAGTTAAAAGTTTTCCGTGTTTCAAACGCCTGAAAGCAATATTTAAACGACTAAGTTTGCGCGAAAGTCAATTCCATTTCCGTCTGGAATGACGTTTCGAATTATTATTATCTGGACATAGTTTATCTTAAAAAATAGCTGTATTAAACTATTTCACACGGGAATTATTCTATAGGCGTGCGCAGAAAGTCAAGTCGAGGCAGCAAATATATAACAAAGTATGATAGCTTTTAAATCTTTTAAAGTCTAAAATTAAATTGGCATTTATTCTTTAAGTACCAATTTAATAAATTTAGAACAAAAGCACTATTTGATGTCTCTATACGCACACCTATGAATTATTTATTAAATATCTGTAGATTAATCATTCAATTATTATATTATGATATATGAATAGTAATATAGATGTGGTTTATATTTAATTTCTGCACTTAATTGTATCCACCACTGCGTAAGAAAAATGAGAATATAACATTAATTTTTTAATAGATAACACGTTAAAAATTTTACAAAATTAATTATTTTTATTTCATTTATTGTATTAGGAAACGGCGAAAACAATCAATTTTGACATTTTAATCATTTAAAAATGAATAACTTAACAAGATGATTATATATTAAATTATAAACATTTAAAAACGGTAATATATCAGTTTGTAAGTTGTATCATAAACTATAATACATTCCAGTATTGATTTATTGATTTGTTTGATATATTATTTTAAATATAAACCATTAAAAATTTATTTTAAAATATTATTTCTATGAATATTGTTTATATTATATTATAGTTTTAAATAATTTTACCGAGTTATTTTAAAATATATTAGTTTTTCATTGCAAGCGAGTTAGTTGTTATAATCTCAATATAACTAAAAAAAGCTCCCGCAAATCATAGTAACATACAATCAATAAAGATAGAATGTTTAATTTTTAAAATTAAAACGTTTAATGTATACTTACTTTTCATTGGAAAAATATTTAAAAAATGTTAAGTTAAAATTTAAATTCCATTGTGTGTGACCAGTAATTTTCTACGTTGGATCATTTTCTAACATTTAATCTATTCGAATATGTTTGTTTTCATAAAAAAAAAACGGTTCACGTATAAAGGATTACGAACATATCTAAAAAATATTTAACCACTTATAAATAGATAAATAACTCTTAAGATATAACTTAGTAGACTTATGTTAATGGTTTTATAACCATTTATAATAAATGTGACTAGCAAGTTTATTCACTTTTTTGAAAATATATGATATCTAATAAAAAAAAAGTGGTCTTATCTATTTTATATTATAACTATAGACGAAATTTATGGAGAAAATTTGAATAACTAGTGACATGCAGTCAAATGAAATATAAACATATCAATGAAAATTTAGCGTAATATTAATGGGATCAATGTAATATTAATTATCATAAGAATATTTCATTAATATTTACATATATATATATATATTATACTATTAATTATTAGTAAAATATTCTTATATTATAAAAAAAAAAAATAAAAATAATAATTTTATTAAGAAATTTTTTTGTTTTGTTTAATATATTTTGCAATCCTACACACATAGAAATCAGCAGTTAATTTAACAATAATTGATGTTAATGTTATACACATCTGAACATCGTTTTTGAGCTAAGGATCTCTTGCAGTTAAAATAACATCAGAGTTAGATTAGAAATTCATAAGCGTTAATTGTATGCATTCACATGAGTTTGGTGTTGTTTTATTGACAGTATATTTTAAAATAATTATAGGTTAGTTTTAAGTTTAATTCTACTTGTAGTATTGATTTAATGTAAATATTAATTCAATTCAAAGAAATATGCAGTAAAGATATGTTAAAATATAAAGATCATTAAAACCATAAAAAAAATGACGTCCTGGTGTTGTGTATATATTCCACAACACCCATAATTTTAGACTTAACCTGTTACAAGTTAGTTATTTCTAGTCAAATAATATCTAAATTTATCAACTATGTACTGAAATATTACAACGAATAAAAAATGTGCATATGCATTATTGCTATAATGTCTGGGCTCAAAATTAAGTATAAATAAAACTGATATCATATGTTACGTATCGATAAATATTATATAAATCAGTAGTGGGGATTGTCCATTACTCGCGATTGCGGTCAACGGCACACACGTCAATAACAATTATATTGTTTCTCAATAAAGACTTATTTTCTATTTGATGTTGCTTTAATATTAAAAATACAACATGATATATTAATATAAATTTTAAAACCTGAAATAAGATAAGTATCAAGTTGTAAGTTTGATAAAATGTATAATCTTCAATGTTTGTTAATAACTATAATTTTAAATATTTCATAATTATTGAGATTGATTAATCTTCATTTTACTAAGTTTATAAAATGTGAATTCATATTTATAATTAAATATTAAAATATCGTCATTTTATCAATATACATAAAATATTAATGATTAAATTTTAATAATATTTAAATATTCGTCAATATATGTTCAATGACAGTTGATGTGTGGGACGAAAACTTAGTTTAGACAACACAGTTTCACAAAAACGTGTGTATACTACTTAAATATGTTTCCTATTAAATACATAGTTTAATAAAAATTAACTATGTTCATTGTTTTTATATATTATTCTACTTAATTGGGTGAATATTTTAATGGAATATACTTCTAAACTACTAGAGAGCATTTGCTTTGAAATATATATTCTAGAGAGTATCATTTCTTTCTATCACTTTCATCCTGATAGGATTAATAAAACACGAGATATATGATTCGCAAATGCTTAGGTTTTTGTTATCTTAATGACAATTTAAATTTGAAAAAGCTATAAATTAAATTCTCAATTAATAAATAATAAGAGGCAAATTTCTTATGTGAAATTTAAAATCCATAAATAATAATTTTTCGTGTAATAATAACTATAGGGGTGTTCATAATATACAATAAGACTATTTATTGTGTGTGTAGATAATGGATTTTGTAAAGCGACGTAATTATATTTATAGTTGTTCATTAAATTCGGATTAGCAATATAAACAATGTTTTAAAAAGCTTTGTCTTCAATTATTTGACTATGCAATAAAATGTGATGTCAAAAGGGGTTTTAAACGCCTTGTAAGTATTGTAATTAATTGTACTTATAATAAGATATTCTGCTAAAATGATATTTCTTTAATTGTTACAACTAGCAACTTAATCGTCTTGGTTTAATTTTTACGGAGATTAAAACTTTTACTTTTTTATTTTTATATTTTTCGAGAAACTATAATATCCATTTGTATTGAGTTGTACAAAGCACGTCTGACTTGTATACATGATCTTTTTTATTTTACATTATATATTCAACAGAATAGTATCTTTACCTATCTCATACGTCGTCGGTCTATTTCAAAATGGATATAATATTTTTCCTATGTTTGTTTTAAGTCGTTCTCTTTTTTCGCTTTTTATATTTGTATAAATATACATTTCGCAAAACATCAAACTTGCTGAAAATTAAATTTTTTACTCTAGTTTTTATCTTTTTTAACTGAATATATATATAATTTAATGACTATTTATTATACACGCGTACCCAAAATAAGTACACTTAAAAATACCTTAAAAGGCAGTTTTAAAAACAATATATTTTAAATATATATATATAAATATTTATATTCAGTATCCCACCATGATTTACTAATTTGACATTTTTTAATATTGACTACTATTGCGCCCTAGAAATTTAAGGTAAGAATAAACGTAGTATTGTCGTGTGAGTCTCTTGCAGGTTTAGGTACAAAGATGAAGAATCCATAGAATCAGCAGTTTACTTTCCTAGTTGCTACGAATGCCTAAGAACTCTATAATAATTTTTAAAAGTTCTGCAGAATATAATAAGTATAGTAACGGTCGACTGTTGTTTATTTTGTTTTTTAGCTTGTTTCACATTCGACTGATCTGCTTGAGATAAATAATAATAACAATAATAAATTTTTAGTATTAACATTACCAATAATCTAATTTTTCTATTTTTACTTGTAGAATATTGCCAGCAGATTTTAAACCTTAATATCAACTTGTTAAGAATGTGCATCTTCAAAGTGATGTTTTGGATAGTAGTGATTTTATTATTCACATCAAATGGTAAGTCTTTGTATTTTCTACTTGAATAATATAGTATATGTCACCCGATTGATTGATATAATACCTGAGTTTGTTTAAAACAATGTTTCGTGATTGAAATTTATTCAGAGAAACGGTTGTAAATTAAAGGTGGTCTCTGTTGTAGTTTTGTTTATTTCACACTTCAAGGCTGACTTCTCAAACTTAGTTGTTACTTTTGAGCTTATACATTTTTAACTATGTCACAGAATGTCTACAAAATATTAAATTAACTATAAATAGTTTTACAGTATCAAAGAAGAATAAATGATTTACTTATTCATACAGAAGAGAAATGCGCGTTTTGTATAATGTAGCTTTGACCTTATTTTAGTAAGTACAACAATTGAACAACTTATTGAAAAAGGTGTCCAATTTGATTTTTTTTTTTTTGCGAAACGCGTCGGTTTTCAATGTAATTATAACTATTTTTTACATGAAATTTTGTTAAAATGTTATCCTTGATAACGTATAATAATTTACTATAGCTATCTAACATAATTATGTTTGATATTTTAATCAATCAAATTGTTTCTATGTTAATTCTATTAAAATAAATATTGATTTTATTAAATGTGTTATATTAAATACTCAAAAAAAATTGTTGAGCATAATTTTTCTTAAAACAAAAACAAATATATACTTTTTGAAATTTTTGTTAAAACAAAGTCCTAATTTTGAAAAAAAATAAATTATTTTACGAACAAATTTAATGATAATAAATAAGAATAATTAAAATATGCTTATAAAATCGAAATTTGGAGTTGGGTTCTTATTCAAGTGAGTTATTAAATTTGATAATTAACATAAAAATGTATATACATTTATTTTTTATAGGCATATTGTCAAAGTTGCATTTTATAGAAAAATGTAAACGTGGAAAATTTTATTTCTAGGAAAGTTTGGCTCTTAAATTTATCTGGGAAAATAATTTGTGCTTGGATATTGTTATGTAAACATTTATATTGAAATTATGACTTATACAGAATACAGACATAAATTATTACTTTTTCATAGCTTAAAAAAATTGAGTTAGGTTTGATACTTCTGGACGTGCTTCACTTGCGATTCTCATTCTATTTTATTAGATATTTATGACATGTATAATGAATTTAATCATTAGCAATTTTATTATTTATCAAAATAAATAACGTTTCAAATAAATATTGTTTGTTATTGCAATAGTTATTCAATTTATTTATAAACACTTAAATTTGTAAATTTCACATCGGGATATCATGTTAACACTAAATGATCAGTAAATTTCAAAAGTAAAGCGGCCTATTTAGTTAGATCAAGACGTCGTGCTATGATTTGTAGGTACTTAGGTTCGATTTCATAGTACTGGACTATGTAGGTTTTCCCATCATCTTTGTCAGAAGCATTAGTTTTATTTAAATTACCGTTTCATGTTTAAATTTAATTCGTTTTACAAAATAAGATCAATCAATCTGAGATATTTTTTAGAAATTGTTTGTCTTGAATATTTAATACGTCTAGTATTATCGAAATTTCTTTTAAAGTGAAACTTACATATTATCACTACTCTGGAAAAACACGTCAATCGTCCCCAAATTGATGTTACAGTTTTCCCTCTGTTTTTTTTTTTTGTATGTTGTATACTATATAGTATTGTTCTTTGTTGTAAATTAGGTTTTTCCTACCTCGACAACAATGTCAACACAGGCATCTCATCTCACCTATAACATGAACCCAAACAAGTAATACAACTATTAAAATGTTTACTGTTTGTACGTAATGTATTTATTCTCTGGAATAAATGCGTCTCCTCGATTAAAATCTCGCACAAGTAACAAAATGACAGGTATAAAACATCAAAACTGTGACATACCGCATATTATCATTTATTTGACCTGTATGTGTACATGTGTAATTTGTTTAATTATAAGAATATTTGAACACTACAAACATGCGAACACACTGCAACAGAAGGGTTACAATAATAAACGTTTGGCATTATTTTGACTAAGATCGGAGAATGGCCAATTAAATAAACAGCTTGAGACAAGTTTTTAGTAAAAAGATTTGATATTACTGACAGATGCGGTCGTCATTGTACGGACAGGCTATGGAATAGCAGCCGAGGTATCTTCTTTAGACAATACTACGCGGCCTCACTCTTTTTCACTTACCCACTGATTTACCGTGGCTGTTTGAGTAGAGAGAGATAATATGCAAGAAAACGGGTAACCTAAAAAGAGAAAGTTATGGTAAGCAATGGTTGTAGCAATTAAATTATTCGGATTGAGACTTCTGGTCGGGCGGAATATTGCGGGGAACCACTTAACATGGCGGCGGCAACGGCTTCAAGTTTTATTATTAATTTCCGACCAGCTATTGCGTGCCCGCAACAGATGTTGGCGGAAGACGTCTGTTAGATATTTGGATATTTCGGCGAGCGCTTTGAAGAAACCGAAGAAAAACCGTCTGTTTTTCTACCGTTAAATGCTAAATGGGTATTTAATGTCATTTTAATTAAAATGCGCTAATTGAGACACTAAGTAAATATCATTAATTTATAGCCGATAGGGTTTATTGAGAGTAATCGATTTCATAATTACACAATGTACAGCATTTTATCTTATGGCTTACTATAAAGAATTAAGTTTAATTTAATTTTTAGAATAATGAATACAACGCGACTATTATTTAAAAAAATTTAATTTCAGAAATAGTAGTTTTAAATTATTTATTGTTTAAAAATGTATTTAAACAGAAATAAAAAAATAGGGACTAGAACTATAGTTTTTTATATGTTGACGTTCGGGGTCGCGTTCTAAAAAAATGTATTTTAAATATATAGTCTGATACTTGAAAATTAGATTCCGAACTCGATTAATTAAAAGTTAATTTAAACATAGGCTTGAGAGGTGTTCTTAGGAATTTTATTGAATAACAATTTTTTTATTAATTTCTTCAAAATATTTTTATCATAGGGAAAATTCTATCCCACATATATCTATATAAGAACACTCATGTTCTATATATTTTACAAGGAAGTTCTTAAATTCTTAATATCAGAAAAAAGTTGTGAGCTACTCAAAAATTCGGAAAATCATTTGCATTATTTCTTAAAAATATTTGTTTAGGAAGTAAGGAAATAAAAATTAGCTCCTCTAATATTACAAAACTACCCTCTGCTTATGAAGAAGGTAGATGAGAAACATTTATTTTGGTGTGTAGGAGTATTAAAAAAATTAATGTTATATTATAAGTCATTTTATAAAATTATATAAGACCTTAATTTTGAATTGTTTTGGTTCGGTAGAGGTTCTGATTTTCTAAATATAAAAATTCCTATTTCAATTTGGGTTCTAAATATTTATGATGTTCTGGACTAAGGACCGGATTTATTAGGTTCTGTTTCCATTCTCTGGATAAAACAAACTAGTCATATTACAGATGATAATTTTTTTATTGGTTGAAGCTAAAACAATTACCGATTTCAGCAATACATATGAAACAATTATAAAAAAAAATGAAAAAATGTTCAATAAAACTAAAAGGTAACATCTAAATTCTAAATCTTAATACAAATAGTTACCAAAAACGACGAATAGCACAGGCTTTAATTGGAAGTGAAACAGAAAACTGAATACAATGATAAGTACTTCTATTTTTTTAGACTAATTTTAAGACGGCGTTTATTATAGGCAATTCTACTGCATTTATGATTACAATCCTCAACCCATAAGTGTTGCTTTTGGAAACAACATATGTCTAATAACAAATGTCTCATTTGAGATTTTTTTTGTAAAATGGTTAATTTTAATCTGTAATATTTTTGCACTCATGCTTTAGTTTAAATTTTAATTACATAGTATTATTTTGTTTATTATATCGTATTGGCTATTAAGTATAATATCCTCTTGTTGGCTAGACTATTGGACATTTCAAAAGATTTATTAAAACTGGTTAAGTTTTCTTCATAGATTTCCTTAATTGTTGTCACAATAAGTCGGAAAAGTTAGTATACAGCTAATAAACTATATAGTTTCGGGGTGTTACAATACAAGACAAATAAATTCAACTCGACTGAGTTTATCGAACGTTATTGTTCCTTTAATAAATTTGATTATGTATATCGTATTGATTGTACAAAGGACAAGAAGCTGTTATAAGACACACGATTGCACAAAGCTAATTCACTTTTGTCTATGTCCTTATCAGTAATATTGGCCTACGTGTTGAAAATAATAAATTACGTGGCTAAACAATACATTTCTAATACAAAACCATAATAAAAGAAAACTATTAAACAATGGTAAATTAATAATTTAATCAAATATGACATATGTGTAATACTTCTCTTTAATTAAAATAAGTGAAAAATCAGCTAGGTTATGGTTAATTTTATGTATTAACATGTTTATGATCCCTCATATTTAAGTACTGCTAAATATTTATTATTACCTCATAATTTAGTTAAGAACTTCATCCGACATTAATGGTACAATTATTAATATAAAAATCTATTGCATTCATACTTCTAATAACAATTGAATGTGATTTATGTAACACTATTTAATCACGTATATCCAAGTTACACAAGTAAATCAATTTAGTCATATAAAAACGATTTTGGCCTTAGTTTTACAACATACATGTACTTTCATGCAAGGTTCTTTTTATAAAGTAAAATATTTCCTTTTTGTCAAATCTTAGCGTCTAAGACGTGACAACGGTAACCATATTATTATTATATTTTTTCTTCGTGGCGGTTCAAGAAAAAAAAATTATGTGGAATCCAACCGTTCGAGGTATAACTTTTCAGATTGAGATATATAAGAGAAAAGTTTTTAACTATATTGTCTAAAGGAAAAATATAATGCGTATTAAACCCTGTAGTATTTTATTCCCTACTATTTTACATTGGATCCGTTGGTATCTATATGCTCATATACATGTCATATACACTATTTTCATGCACAGTATTCAAAGTTTCATAGGCACTCATGTTTACACTTTTTCTATGTGTTTTTTGGCGTAAACCTGGTTTTTAGCAGTATATTTCAGTCACTTTTATTTTTCCCAAAATTTGGTAATTTTTGCATTAACATTTATTACGAACAATATTGTTTTTAGTTAAAATCAATAAGGAGAACGCGAGGAGTTAATAACAAACGATGATTAATGACTTCTATGAACGCTACTTCAGGGTCTTGTAAAAACAAAAATATTCCATTCTCCATCGACTGGCCCGTTGTCATGTCACACACTTGAAAAAACAACGAAAAAAAAAATAATACCGATATATTGGTGTGAAGTGTAAGAAATTGATATGTTTGGGGACTTTGGGAAAACTAGATGCGGTTGACAACCAGATAAGACGCGAGCTATCACGATATCAATAGAGGATGTTTTTCATCGTATGAAAAGTGAAATCTCTGCTACACTACTACTTACAACATAAACGAGAGTAAATACACTAGCTAATGGTAGAGAAGTGGAATAGTTGTCGTTCTTATTCAACCGCGTAAAGATAATTCACTTTAAAATATCATGACATATACTCGTGTATTTTATTGTGTATGTAATGAATTTGTTTTATAAGAAAACATTTTAATATTTTTAAATTAAAATGTGATATATTTTTATACAGAGTGTTCATTAAGTAAGAAACAGGTCAATTGTTATAAACAATGAAAACAATAGAAACACTTTTTCTTACTGAACACGTTATTACATGTACAGAACGACCAGTAAAAGTTACAATTAGACTAAGTAAACCGTAATTTTTTGATTGTATTATTCCAAATTTGCATTAATTGTAAAAATTATTAAGTTCTTGGAAAATACATTATACTAAAAATAAATCAATTTTTAAGTATAGTTTACTAGGCGTTTCAAAAGAAACACTAGTTTTAAACAATGTTAAAATAATATTTCATTAAATTCCAAAACTTTATCCATGAATTAAGTCAGAGTTACAATAGATGTATAAAAAATATGAAAATTAATCGAAATTGAATTTATACTAAACAATATTAAACCTTATTATATTCATAAAAAAATATGCTTTTATAATCCTTACGTTCCATGGAAATACATTAAATACTTTTCTTGGGATTTTATATTGACTAAATTCAAATGAATAGAAAAACAGAAAACAGCTCAATTGCTCTAGTTTATTTTTATTGTATTTGAAACAGCGAATAATTTTCTTTTTGCTTATTAATAGAAATCCCATTGAGTATTACTGCTTATGGATATCAGATTTATTCTAGAAAAAACGTTTGGAAGATAGTAAAGTACTCTACAGCTTGAATGTATAAATAAATAAATATTCGTAAAAAGTACACTTAAAAATAAATACAAGAAAGAGGTGGAACGTTGAACGATCGTCAAGTTGAGCATAATGTTTATAAGACTAATACTAATGCTCAATCGCATCAGTTTTAATAGGATACAAACTTGATATTTTATGTAAAATGCGCATAATTAAATGTTTATCAAAGTTTTTAAAATCCTTTTTAAATGGTGTGTTAACTTTAATAAACTATTATTAGTCCAAGAATTTTTCATGTTCTAACTTTTTTTTTTTTTAATAATAATAATATACATTTGCTTTACATGTCATAACTTAGGTTGAATGAACTCTCACCTCATATACATGTTTGTTAAAAGTATTATTATACACAAACTTATCAATTTATTATTTGGATGTACAGTGGAAACTGTTACACGTTACGATAACGTTTTCAATCCTTAATTTTAGCGATATGAAATTATCAATTTTTGTTGATAAACTTAATAATATTTTAATATTATGTAATCTATTATGTTTCATTAGTTTATATAACATTTTGATTAATTTTTTGCCGTTAACTAATTACGGGAAAATATATCTCGTAATTTTTTTATAATGTTGCGCTTGAAATCTGTATAATAATCAACGGGAAAGTCAATGGTTCAACTTTGTTAAACTGTTATCTGTTTAAGACTCGGGAACAGTGAACAAATTTGCCCTACTCTTTTAGTTTTTGTTAGTGTCAGTTATGTTCATTAATTAAAACCTCACTTCGATCCTTCAAAATGAAACTTGAGAGTAATTTTTTGACATAAGCTGGTGGTGAAATCGTTTAATAATTGAAACATACAATTGAAAATAGTTAGTAAAAAAGATATTCTTCCTATATTAGAAAATAATTATTATTAATTAAATGAAAGTGTTTTTGATGTACACTCATGAGTCATGGCAGTTAAAAGTGTAATTATTTTAATGTTTTGTCCGTTAATATTCTCTAACACTTTTAAAGTAAAATTCGTTTAAAGTAATCTTCTTATAAGATTTTTACTTTTCTTTCATAAAAATTCCGAACAATAAATAAGAACAATTTCAAAAAACAAAAACTATACAAAACAGGAGTAAACTACAGTCATTTTTGATTTTTGGGCTATTTATGTCATGTCAACATGTTCAATTTTTTCTACAATTAATGTATTAATGTATTATGCGTACAAAAATTTCACAATTTAATAATGACCATCTAAGGAATTTTTCAATTACAAATCCTTTGATTCTAGTTAAACGCTATGGTATGTCATCTTCTGGTGCATTCGCAATATAGACTAGACGAAAGCAGATATTGGGATTTTTATTCCTTCGATTATCGACGTTCAGATTTAAGAGAGAACCACGGAAAAAGTTTTACGACTTAAAAAAAAGCGAAGAAAGTTTCTGGCTGTTTGTGTCCGGACGTGGAATCATCCAATTAGAAGTTAACAAACAACGTCAATGTGGCGTTATCATCGTTCGTTACGTACCATTCCAATTCGATATAATGTGTAAAAGACACGTTATTGGGCTCCTGCACTTTTTCACATTTTATTCTATTGTATCACAATCACATATCACGTTATTAGTACTAAAGAATCTTCACTTTTGATCATCATGATGATGTGATGTGTAGTCTGCAGACGGAATTACAAATGGTAAAAATGTTTCTTATCTGTAAATTTTTGTCGTTAAGAACGAATGAAAAAAAAAACACATTTCTAGTAAAGACGTTCCGGAAGGAAAAAGTTCTGTGCTGACGATAACGAGAACGTTATGTTTTCTTTGCCGTCGACACCGCGAGAATAACACATTCACATAAACACGTGTTTATGAAGACGCCCAGAGATTCCTTTTTTCTCTTCGTTATTCTTATCAGAACGTTTTCATAGGGGAAGTAAATCTTTTGTTGTATTTGTATTTCCTATTAACAGATGAATGCTTGTAAATTATATTGTTCTTATTAACTATATTTTTTGAATTTTTATGATTAAAATATTTTATTTAACATACTTATGAATAAGTTATTTTTCATAATTGCCTTTTTCGATTGCGCCTCTACAATTTTGACGTTTTAAAATAAATATGTGTTTTTATTAAATTAATATACATATGATCGTTAAGTAAAGGACAAGCCAATTGTTACAAACGATGAGAACGATACTTACAGAACACTCTATGTAATACTATTCATATTTTAAACTTCTCAAAAATGTGTTTCTTCTCTTTATTATCGTAAAACGTTTTGAAGATTCACAAAGTTCAATTGTAACATAAGAGTAATAGAGATCTTGTTATACTTGTGGAAAGTATTTTCTATATACATTTGAAACTAATCCATAAATATAATAGTGCGAACGATTACTGTACCAGTTGGTGTGTTAATAATATCTACTTATTATATTTCTATATCCTCATGTATCAAACAATCTATTTTTATTTAAACTCAAAATAGTTTTATTCAATCTTCAGTTGGTAGCATATGATAGAATATTCCCTTTGGTTCTATACGACATATTATATCGACAAATGTTATTTAACACAAAGATATGGTGAATTATTCCTATCGATTTTAGCATGTCGAATAAGAAAAAATTTAATAAAAAATACTAAATACTGTAATAAAGCCAAAAAAACATGGAAAATTTAAAAGACTCGAATTTATAACAACAAATTATAAACAAGAACAATGGTAAGGGGGTTGAAATGCATTTTGACATTGGTATCATCTGACGTGTCATAATGTGCAACTCTATTAGTCCGTTAGTCGAGTCTCCTATTCGGAGGTGCTTTTGTGCATTCGAAAATAATAATGTGATTCCGGTCACGCGTAACAAAAAATAGTATTGCCGTGAGTTTTTCTGATATTCGTCTCGGTACGATTTATGAGTAAGGAAATGACGAACGAATTGCAAAAAATGGAAGCTAGTTCAGACAGACACGGCTGTGAATAGTGTACCATTGGCGAGGACGTGCGAAGCTCAATTTGGCTGTTCAAAGATAAACAGAAATAGAATGTTGGTTCATGAAAGATTGAAATGTGTTTCCTTTACAATAATAGGGAATGGCCTTAACTAACGTTATTGCCCATATTCAGACGATAGTAATAAACGCGGCTATTGAATGCTATTTATGTCTTAAACCATAAACCAGTGCAAACATATCATGAAACCAAAAGTGCAGTAAAATATATATATATGAGTCGTTTAATCATTGAGCAAATTATTTTTCCTTATTGATATATATTCGGAAACTAATAAATTGTAATTTTATAGGTCGGGGTTTGAAGTTATTCTCTCGAATGATAATTTTATAAAGAAAATTATTTTTGGCATTCTTTTTAATTTTATATAATTCTCGATTTTTAACATAATTTTATGCTTTTAAAGTTGTCATGTCTTCTCTTTTCAGTTTTTTCCTATGTTCGCGTACATTATAAAGCAT